CGCTGTGCTTTCATTTCACGGAGATCCTGAAACTCTCTGTGCTGTGCATTCAATAAGTGGCTACACAACGAAATTCTTGTCTGGTAGTTGTATGAAGCCCGGGATGGCAAGTTCCACTCTTCAGCAGGTGAGATTATTTAGGGCAGGACAAAGTCAAGTTAAATTTTTTTCTCTTTAGATTATCAAGTCAGCTTACCTACCCGTTAGCTTTATATAACAGGCTTATATCACTAGCAGATCAATCTGAATATCTTCGAAACTAGGGGGAAACATCCCGTTTCAAGAGAACTTAAGAAAAAGCTTTTTTCCCTTTGACAGGCCTGTACGTCTCGTTTCATTGTCCACTGCTCTTACACAGGCCTTTTTTTTTTTTTTTTTCGGTACGCGGGCCTCTCACTGTTGTGGCCTCTCTCGTTGCGGAGCACAGGCTCCGGACGCGCAGGCTCAGCGGCCATGGCTCACGGGCCCAGCCGCTCTGCGGCATGTGGGATCTTCCCAGACCAGGGCACGAACCCGCATCCCCTGCATCGGCAGGCGGACTCTCAACCACTGCGCCATCAGGGAAGCCCTTAAACAGGCATTTTTGTGGACTGGTCCCTATGGCTGCCCTTAGCAGTCTTCTCATCCCTGGAAAGTGAGGGCAGAGAGAGTGGACATCTCCACTGCTCCTGGAGGGATCAACGGAACAGTGGAAGTAAAGGAGGAGAAAATTGGAAGGCATGTATGTGTCTTGGACAGAGTAATTTGGCTGGTGGCAGAAAAGGCTGACGGAGGAAACGCTGACTGAAGGCTTCCTGTGGGGGGGGATGGAGTATGTCTCTTGGGAGGGAGAGAAGGCAGCAGTGTGTGTGGGGTGACCCTGGCCCCGCCTCCATAGGATCTGGTCTTGGACAAACCTGTGTGGCCTCAGAGCATCCCCCTCTTCCCTTCTCTGCAGAGTGGTTATGTCCAGCCTACGGATGTAGAGGAAATTGCTTAGAAAACCACACTGGCCTAAGCCAAGGTGGCCTGAGATAAAGTGAAGTCCAGGCGCGTTGTCCTGGAAACACGGGGGTCCGGGAGACAGGGCTGTGTGTGCAGACTGCTGTCTTGCTTTTCTTTCCACTGGGTTCCTAATTTCCTGGCCGCCTTTGACGTTTCAACGTGTGCCCGCATCTTCTGTAGAAGCATATGAACTAGAGACCAACCAGAACTTTTTGATACATGCAAGGGTTATTATTAAATAGAAGTTTTAAATAAAATGCAGAACAAAGAAGGCTGTGATGGGAAGAAAAAGCAGAACTAAGGGAGGAACACATTTCAAGTGTGACTTCAACGGCAGATTCGGGGTCTGGATGGTAACCTTGACCAGGCAGCCAGAAGGGAGCCTGCCCATGTCCGGCCCTGCTGGAGGGGAGCTGGAAGGCGCTGGTTCGCTCAGTCGCCTCAAAGTCCCAACGCTGGTGCACGCTGACAGAGGCCACGTTTGCTTTTGCATGAACGTTTTAGAGCAAGGCTAGCCACCCAGCACTAGGTCCTCTACTGAGCTCTCTCCACTTTCAGGGCTGACGTCCAGTCCCGTTTTAGAGGGACGTATTGGCACAGCCCACGGCCCAAATTCAGGCCCACGTTGGTTTTCCAGGATTGAAGGAACCCTCAGATCCCAGCACTACTGATGCCTGACGTGTCTAATCTCTGACACCCCGCCAGCTCAGGAAAGATTTCATAATTAAAAATGTAAAAATGTTAATTACCTGAAGATACTTCCTGATGGGTAGCACTAATCAGGAGGGAAATTGATGGTATTGAGACAGGGAAAATTATTAGATTAAGCAATATTCATGGGAAATGTATCTCATAAGAACTCTGTGTGCAGTCCTGCCCGTTTGGTGGTATTTCTACGTTATGTTTTTTGGTAGGAGGAAATGCACTAAACTAAAAGAGAATTTGATGAACTGCGTTGGTCAGAAAGCAAGGTATGTCTTCCTGGTCAGAGAAGTATTCAGAGACTCAGCAACGATGCAGGGAGGAGTCAGAGGGAAGGACCGTACAGCTTTGATACTCTTGTGGCCTCATGAGAGAGGGGTCTCGTGCTGGAATTTGGCGGGGGGTCCTGCTGAAGGTCTTGGCTGGGCTAGTTGGTGAGTGGGTTGGATTGTGCCCAAGAAGGGTCTGTGGGCGCCTGTGCTCACGTTAGGGGGGTGTTTCTCCAGCTGGTGTGTACCCGGCACCTCAGAGGTGCATCGTCTGTCCTATCGGGTGCCCTGACTGCCTGGAAAACTTCCGTAAAGGTCCAGAGAGCAAATAGTTTCAGTTTATCCAGGACTATAACTTCCGTCCCAACTGCTCAGCTCTGCTGAGGTAGCTCCAAAGCAGCCACACACAGTTCACACACAAACCGCATGGCTGTGTTCCAATCAAACTGCATTCACAGGCACTAAAGTTTGAATTGCGTACAATTTTTACGTGTGATGAAATAGCTTCTTCTTCTTCTTTTTCCATCATTTTAAAATGTAACATC